TTTTTTTTTTTGATCCTGTGACCAGTAGAAGCACTCTACTGCCCCAGGTGGTGGGTGGGTTCTGGGACTTTCAGGTGTATCCTTATTTCCACCTCAGCATTGTCCAATGGGGAATAAGGCTTGGCACGACTGTGTTGGATAAGCCTGCCCTGAAGCTCCACAAATGCTTTTAGCAGGGTCAAAAATCTCTGTAAGCCATCTCTGGGCAATGTTTCCATATAGGGGCTTAAGCAGCCCCACTCAACCAGAAAGTCTGCGTGTAGAGGCAGGGCTGTCTGTGACCCTAGTCAGGCAGTCCGGAGCAGGCTTCACTCCTTTGCATCCACCCCTATTCCATGGTTTCCCCAGACCTCTGCCCACAAGTAGGACCTCCAGCCAGGCAAGCTCCCCCACAACTTTGATGTGGGCTGGGAGGTTTCCCACCCAGGGACCCAGCCTGAGGTGGGAGCATGGCCCTCCCATGGGAGGAGGGATGCTCCACAAGCATGTCACAGCCAGGACCCATTCTGCACTCTCACCCTTAGTTTGCCCCTGCAGACACCCACACCTCTTGAGACTAATCTACAAATATCCCCTCTATACCCCAGGACAATGCAATCAAGGCCTGGGGGTATGGGATCTGGCATGTGGGCCCCTGAGATCAATCCTTGATCATGCTAGGTAGAAGGATGCTGATCCCAAGTCACCAACAGGGTGCCCAACATGGTGCAATGTCCCTCAACCTTGGAGTGTGCTCTGCTCTGCTGGAGTTACTGGGCAAGCAGCACCAGGGAGGACTGGTGGGCAGGGAGCTCCCAGTCTGTTCTTCCCTCAGTCCCTGCAAGACCCCCAAAGTAAAGGTCCATGCTCTGTTCCTTTTGAAAACCTCTATGTGGTGGCTCAATTGTCCCTCTCAGCAGCCATGGGTGTGGGAAGGGGAAGGGAGAAAAAGAGTCTAGGTGGGAGAAAGTTAGCATTCTGGTCATCTCTGATCCTCTCTCTGGGAGGCAGTGCACCCATAATGACCAGGCTCTGTAGTCATGAAGATCACCCAGGATCCACTTGCCCCTGTAGTCTGGGTGGGAGTTGGGAAATGTCTGTATGGGAAGGAGCAAGATGAAACCTGAAGGGTTGAGGCCCCCTGGGGTGGACAAAGGCATCAGGTGGGCTGAGAAGCAACAAGGCACCTGCTGTGGGGTGAGGGGTGGTGCCTTGGAGGTGTTGGGAGCCTGGTGCCCTGTATGCAAAAAGGTATCCACTCAGTTGTGGCAGCAGTCTCTGGGCTCCTGCTGGCAGAATGTCTCTCCAGCTGCTTGGGAGCCCACCAACAGTCTGAGATGCTCCACTTACCCTTCTTGTTGGTTTCCAAGCCTCTTGGGGTTTAATTCACACTGCCTTTCTCCTTCCAGTTCTGCCCTGCAACTTCTTCCTGTGGAGTGTCCTGTAGATTCAGGCACCCTTCCTTCAGACCCTTATCTGATCTATGTTTGTCTGTGTTTTTTTATTTTTTTTTCTCTCTTTTATCTAAAACTTCTCCTTCTCACAGAGACACCCTGGCTGGTGGTATCTCTGGTCCACTGTCTTGTTCCCCACTCCAATTTTCAATTCTTGGTTAGTTCCAACTTAATAGTGAGTACATGTGGTATTTGAAGAATTCTTGAGACACTTCACTTAGGAAAAGGCTCCCTAGTTCCATCCAGATTGCTGTAAAATGTATTAATTCATCTTTTTTTATTTTATGGCTGAGTAGTACTCCATGGTGTACATATACATTTTATTAATCCACTTATTTTTTGGCTTTAAATTTTATTTTTTATTTTTATTTTGTTCTTGCTTTTGTTTCTATTTTTTATTATTTATTTGTTTTTCAGAATTTTACAGGGGTACATAAATTTTGGTTATATAATTTGCATTTGTAGTTTGAATCAAAGTTGTAAGTGTGCCCTTCAGCCAGTTGTACCTGTTAGGTCTGAATTTACTGTACCTGTTAGGTGCACTGTACCTGTTAGGTCTGAATTTACCCATCCTCTCTTCCCCCCTCCCACTTACTTGATTTTCATTGGATTTTACTTCCATATGTGCACTTAAGTGTTGCTCAATTAGTTTCAATTTAGTATTGAGTACATGTGGTGTTTATTTTTCCATTCTTGTGATACTTCATTAAGAAGCTTGGTCTCCAGTTCCACCCAGGTTGTTACAAAAGGTACTAGATCTCTATTATTTTTATGGCTGAGTAGTGCTCTATGGTATACATATACCACAATTTATTAATCCACTCATGCACTGATGAGCATGTAAGAGAGAGGAAGGCATGGAAAAAAAAATGTGTGTTCTGTCTTTCACTGAAACTGGCTCCCCTGCCTGAGGCTGGTGGTTGGAGTGTTTTCTTTGTAAAATCCCCTCACCCTTTAGAATGTGTGTTGTGTCTCTCACTAAGACCCACTTCCCTGCCCAAGACCAGCAACTAGGTGAGCCAGGGCCAGATGAGCCAGGGGAGTGCTGTCTTTGATTCTTTGCATTGCAGTAGATACAGAGGACCAGAAGGCACTCTGAAGAGACCCTGGGCAGCTCTGCCCAGCTCCAGATCAGTGGGGGGTCCCAACAGATTCTGGAGATGAAAGGATCAGACCATCAACAGTAGCTGACCACAACACTGTGAAGCTGAAAACTCTCCCCTTTAAAAGCTCTGTAGTTTTGCTTATCAGGGAAGAAAAACTGGATTTTGGGATGATAGTCTGTGTTTTTTCTCCCTTTGCTAGCAAAGGAATAAATCACTTTCCTTCTCTTCAACAACTTGTTCTTGTTCTTCTGATTTGGCCTTATGGACAAGAGCTGAGTTTTGGTAATAGGCACTTGGGTTGATTCCGCATCTTTGCAATTGTGAATTGTGGTGCTATAAACATTCAAGTGCAAGTGTCTTTTTTACAAAGTGTCTTTTTTTTCTTTGGGTCAGTACCCAGTAGTGGGATTGCTGGATCAAATGCTAAGTCTACTTTTAGTTCTTCGAGTAATCTCCATACCATTTTCCATAGAGGTTGTACTAGTTTGCAGTCCCAACAGCAGTGCAGAAACGTTCCTTTCTTTTTGTGTTCATGCCTGCATCTATTGGTTTTGGATTTTTTAATATAAGCCATTCTACCTGGGGCAGGGTGACATCTCATTGTGGTTTTAACTTGCATTTACCTAAGGAATAGTAATGTTGAGCATGTTTTATATGTTTCTTGGCCATTTGTTTCTTCCTTTGAGAAGTATCTGTTCATGTCTTTTGTCCACTTTTTGATAAGGTTATTTGTTTTTTTCTTGATGATTTGCTTGAGTTCTTTGTGACTTCTGGTTATTAGCCCTTTATTGGATGTATAGGTTGTGAATATTTTTTTCCCATTCTGTAGGTTGTCTATTTGCTCTGTTGATTGTTTCCTTGGGTGTTCAAAAGGTTTCTAGTTTTATCAGATTCCATTTGTTAATCTTTATTGATGTCATGATTGTCACTGGGGTCTTTTTCATAAATTATTTGCCAAGGCTGATACTAGAAGAGGTTTTTCTACATTTTCCTTTAGAAGTCTTATGATTTCATGCTTTAAATCTAAGTCCTTTATCCATGTTGAATTAATTTTTGTGAGTGGTGAGAGGTAGTAGGGGTTTTGTTTCATTCTCCTGCATATGGCTTCCATATGTATGTGAGAAGGGGCAACTACTCTGTTTCACTAACCTCAGCAGAATGCCTGTTATCATTTTTACCAATCTTTGAACTGATGATTCAATGTATCCTCTAACCCAATTCACAAATATTACTTACCAAGACTGATATCAAAATGAATCTATTTCTTTGTCTAAATAGTTTGCATTTATTTGTGTCTTTAATAGTTTTATCTTCTATCTCTCCCATCTTCAAGTTAGTGTATATTTTTCCTACAAATCCATCTTCTTTCTGTGTAGCACCGAGCTGTTCCAGCACCATTATCATTAAGGTAAGCACATTCTTCACTGCCTTTCACATTAAACCTGCAATAAAAAAATTAACAATTATGTACTATGGAGTCATGTGATTTCTTCCTTGTCCAGTGACACCTTTAAACAAAAATCCTATTTGTCCAAAGACCGGAAAAGGTACACTGTGATACTGTGCTCTCTTGCAAGGATTGAGATACCTATACTAAGTCGGATTAAAAGAGGCTCTTTTATAAGAATTTATATTTGTTAAACTGACATTAGGTCATTTTACATGTATTTAGCAGAGGTATCAATTTATACTAACCAAAGTTTCTCAACTACAGGAGATTTTGACCCTCCCAGCCAAGGGATACTTGGCAATAGAGGAAATGTCTGGATAAATTTTTGATTTTCACAACTGGAGGCAAGGGTTTGATGGGGTGGATAGTTACTATCAGCTAGTGGGTAGAGGGTTGCTGCAACATCTTATAACACACCTAATATTACCCCATTTCCACAGAAAAGAAGTATTTAGTACAAAATGTAGGTAGTGCTATTGTTGGGAAACTCTAATATGAGCTAAGCAGCTAAGTCACAAAGAGTCACTATCTCAGGTGTGTATGCAGATTTTCAGTTTTATAACAATGAAGATATGAAGCCCAGGACAAATTGCACAATAGTGCAATTGCAAATAAAATCAAGTTAAAATGAACACCAAACTGTAAAAGACATCAGAACACAAGTAACATGATGTTTGTGGAAGAGATGTAGAATTTCAAAAGATCATTTAAAAGTAGCCAAAAGTTTAATTTGAGGGTATATATATATACATATATATATCTCAGGTCTTTATGTTCAAAACAGCCAACTAGAAGATCTGCTCTTCCAGTCTTTATAGTTGACTCTTAATCTCAATAAATGATGCAATTCCTCACTTCACCTTTCTAACATGCACAAAAATCTAGGGCTCTAGGGAAATTTAGCTAATGCCCAGGTCCTAGAGAACATTGCACTATCTAAATTTAGGTAATCTCAGAAAGAAAGAAACTCACCATTTGGAAAATGGGGTTCCATTTACCCATTGTCCTGTTTGATTTTTTGTCATCTTCAGCCCAATCCAATGATCAGAACCGCATTTGTACCTACTAAGAAAAGACTTTAGAGATAAAGTTAATTTCAAAATTTTACCTCTCAGTTTTCACTACAATCTTTTGTACACCTCCTGCTTTGCAGTTTGTAAGGTGCAAGACACTAGAAAATAGCGATGGAATTTTTTAAACAGTACTTTTTCCCTCTGATCTTTAGTTTATTTGTTTATAAAAAAAGATGTGGGATACAATTTATTTAAATACTTTTTGATTCCAAATTGACAAAATATAATTTAAAAATCTATTCCTTCAGAATTTTCAAACTGTTAGCTCCTGAAAGCCAAGGTTTATAATTGAGTTCTTGTATATCATTCCTAATCACCAGATATTTATTATAATATTTTTCCACTTCCCAGTAAATACTGGTATTTTCAATTTAATGCTATATTATACCTCAATTTATCTCCCCAAACTACATGCATACGTACACACACATACACACAAACACACCTCTCATATATCCAATTCCCTTAAAATCTAACTATCAAATTTTACTTTTCTACCAAACATTTAAATTTCTAAATACATCATTCGGGGATAAATACAATATTTCTTCCTGATATTTATACGTCTATGCATTATTTAACTTTCTTGTTACCTTAGACCTTTTTTTACCATAAAATTACATGGAGCACGTCCTTGAGTACACTCTGCTACTAAATAGCTGGGAAATTATATGCTTAACATTGTATCACTCCATTTTTTTAAATTTTTATGATAATATAAAGGAGTTAGTCCAGATTAGAACACTATGGTTAAATCCTGTCTAATATCAGTAATACTTATAACTTTTGGCATTTTAATATATCAGCTTCTGAAGAATTTCATAAATTTCTTTGAAAACTGTTCAATTCATTGGGCTAAGCTATGGTTTTGCAAAGAAAAAGACTAATGCAATATTGTCCCTGAATTCAAAGGGCTTCATTTGTAAAATAATGTAAATATAATATTAGCAAATATTCTACTAAATAAGAAGATAATGTGTATCATAAATACAAGTAAATTGCAGTTTACAGAAAGCATCATCTGAGCCTTTAAGGCAAACTTTTATATAGGATGTACTCTAAGGGAAGAGTAGAAGATTCCATGGTAAATACAGGAGGCAAAGAAGAAAAGGGCAATTCATATTTCTAGGCTCAGGAAAGAGCTTGCTTGAATGCAGAGAAATGTAAGAAAGAATCCATGTGTTGGAAATAAAGGAGTTCAAGAAATTTCATCCCTAAATATGACTCCTTGGTATGAAGAATATTTTGAATTAAAGGCCCTTAGAGATCAACAGGGCCTTGGAAGGAGATTTCATTCTATTTGCGTAGAGAGGCCCATCAAAAGAACAATGGACTTCCCTTCCTTCTTATCTCACTATATTGCAGGAAGGAAAATCAAGAATGCAACCAGATCTGCCTCAAATTATTTTAAATATAATATCTGTCTGTCAAGGTTAGTTTAATTTGCAAAGAGAATCATTTACAAGTCAAGCTGTTTCCTCCATCCATTCATCCTCCCTAGCAACCATTTATTGCCCCTATACATAATTACCAATATTCCTCATCTCCCTCTCCCCTCTAAAAGGAGTGTATAAAAATATCTGGGTCCCATTGGGATATTGGGCAATCACTCTATGATTCTCCGAATGTGCATAGTAAATAAACCTCTTTCACCTCTTTCTCTTATTAATTTGCCTTAGTTGTGAATTAATCTCTCAGAAAACTTTTTGGGGAAAGGAAGTATCTCCTCACCCCCACAGAAACCAACAGAATATATGTTATCAGATAATTGGGAAATTTGAATGAGGCTCAGTAGATGTCTTGGTGCCAGGCAACTGGGAGGTGTGATTCTTAGAGCATGCTGTGTGAAAAATGGTAATCATTATTTGTTCAATTAAGCAATACCCTATGTAGCTCCTTGTTAAAAATGCAAGAATTCTAAACAGGTGGAAATAAATATGAAAAATATTTCATAAACACACTGGATATAAACTCATATTTAACTAAGATATACACTACTTTATAGTTAAAAATGTATAATATTTTAATTAAACAATCCATTAAAAGTCTTCTATAAATTACTTCCCCACTGCTTCATAGACAGCTTTGCCTCGTTCTGTTTGTCAGTTAAACTTTGCCAATCTATGTAGTACATTAGCCATCTATGATCTTCAAAATATATCAGGGTATTTTTGATCATTCTTTTCTCTTGATCCAAACAATACAACTGTCTTCCTTGATATGTTTAATAATTTCTGCTAAGTTCAAAACTAATTGTTTTTGTGTACTTCTGTTCTTTGTGTTCCTTGATCTTCACTATTTTTGTCAATCTTTGATGACAGAATTCCTATAGTAAATATTTTTTAGTATTGGTTGTGTTTCCATTTCTTTATCCTTCAAACATTTTAGTAACACTCATTATGTTTCCATCTTGCTTCTAGAAAGCAAGCTTATTTCCATTTAGCTTTCTTTCCCCCAGGAGGAACTATAAGGAGCAGTCAGAGGATTTCTTAAATGTTCGTTTTCAAAACTCTTGCAAAATTTAGCAGTGACACTATTGACTATGGAAGCCCTTCCTGTTAAATTGTGCTACCACCTTAGTTCTTCATTTGCTATATCTAGTCTTAACACATCTAGTTTTTCATGTTTTATTAAGCTTTCCATAACTTTTGTTGCTTGCAAAATAGTTTAGTTTCCTTGCCCTGATCTATAAATTGGCCTAGCCTGATTCACGTGCATTTAAATTTGAATGAATCTTCAGGTAGATTGTGTAAATATACTTTATTCACCACAGACATAACACACAGCTGTCTTTTAACAATGTTGACCATTGTGCTGTTCTGCTTCACATTGAAAACACTTCTCAATTGTGCATTATTTGTAAAAAAAAAATTGTAATTAAAGTTCTATTACCTTTTATATATTATTAGTTTCTTAAAGAGACTAAATAAAAGTAAACACACACACTTACCATATAAGGGAGTAGGGGAAAGAACACATTTCTCAAATCTATAGGTACCATTTTATAATCCCTTGTTAAATTTCTTGAAGAGTCTTCTTACTCATAGGAATTTTGTCATATAAATCAATATTTATTCCACCAGGATCCACTAGCCTTTTCATTTGTACCTGACTTTGTGTGATATAGCCAAGGATATAATTTCAGACAAGACGTGGTGTCTGTTCCTTGTAAACTCATACTTTGGTCTGGGGGAAACTTTTCTTTTCACTATTGCAATACTGGCAGAGAGTGTTCTGATGGAGGCTGCCATGAGAACTCAGGGACAGACAGCAAAGCAAGATGGAGAATAAATTTCCTCAAAGGGAGTAAAATGGGGTTATGCCTTCTTCCTGAGGAGATCTTCCTTTCTTGGTGGAATATAAGGTTTCCAAATATTATCAAGCTCTTCTACTTGCACTCTTTAAAATATAAAGACAAATATCAAGACTATTACTTGATGTGAGTCTTAACACTCTTCAAACAAAATATCCCTAGGGTTTATTTAACCTCATATAGCATATTCTGAACATCTTCAACATTCTACATAGATGGGAATGAATGAAAAGTTTTTTAAATTGTAATGACATTTGAATATTTCTAGTGTTTCAACTCAAGATAATTCATAAGAAATGTTTATTAAATTACTTACCATTTCCTTATCAGTATCAATCGTAGTTAGATCAGCATATGCAGCAGTACAGTTGTCTCTACTTGATGCCCAATCCCTTTCTTTTTCAGAGAAATAATAACATTTGTCTTGAAAACCAATCCAACCATCTGGGCAAAAACTTTGTCGACACTTAACTGATAAAACTGAAAATGAGACAAATATATATTCTAAAAACCAGATAAAGTAATATGCTATTGTGTTTTTGGATCGCTGGGGAAAGACAGGATTATAATGTAAAAGATTATGGTCATGACCAAATTTGCATATCTATCACATAACAGGGTGAAAAAAGTGTATTCCTTTTGTCATATTAGGTCAAACATGACAGTTTAGAATTTAACAGGCCTCTTATTTTCCTTTCAACTCCAACCTTAGTGACTGACATATAAGCATTCCTTCCTGGAGCAATCAGTAGTATTCTACTTGCATGGGTCAACCTTGCCATTTCTGGGTAAATGAAATATAATGAAATCCTAACATTATCTGGGAGTAATAAAACCTTAATTTATATTAGACTGTAATAAATCTAGGACACATGATTTAATCTGCAAGGATGTAATTAAAACAATAAAACAGAATATATAATAAGATATTGGATTTCCTGTTGTCAGCTGGTTACCTCCATCACTGTGTAGCTCCAGGTTGGCTAATGAAAGGAATCCACATGACATTTGGAAAGTAGAGATAAAGAAGACATTATTCCTAGAGATCATGGAGACAGGGGCTCCACAGGCGTTTCCATGAGTTTCCCTTTTGTAGTCTTGGCAGCCAGAAGTCTTAGCTTTTGAGACTTTCCTTTAGTGTTATCTGTGTTCCCCAAACACATTGGTGCATCAAGCCAATATCGTTAGTGACTATTTCTCATCCAGATATATAGCACCAACCTTCAGATATGCATTAGTCCCCAGACCATCTCACATTCATATTATCACTAATTTCTATATTAAAGTCTTAATTCTTATAATATGTGTTTGTTTTTCTGAACACTCCCAGACTGAATCAGCTTTTGGTATAAGAGTGATACTAAAGGAATAATAGAACCATAAAGATGAGATATAATTTTGGTTTTCTAATATCATTTACTTTAAAGGCATTGATTTAATTATCAGTTATAAATGGATGCTGATGGTCTATGGGGCACCTATAGTCACTTGATGTCAAGAACCTATAGAAAGTAAAACTTTTAACACCCTTCTTTCAATCATTGCTCCAACAACAAAGCAAAGTAGTGAGGACCATCATATCTGAACACCATGATTAACAAATATAAGCCAATTGACATACATAGAGAGCTATGTACAATAGCTATAGAATACATATTCTTTTGAGATGTATAAGGATATGTACCATAATATAGGAAAATAAAGTACAAACCACAAATTTTAAAAGATTGAAGGCATTTATAGCATGTCATCTGAATGCAGTGGAATTAAGCCATATATCAATAACAAAAATAAAATTAGAATATCACAAAGGTCGTAAATTAAACAATGCAATGATAGACAGCTCACAACTCATAGAAGAAGTCATCATGGGAAGTAGAAAATACTTTGAACTGAAAAATAGTTATATAAATTCTGGTGTATGCGGTACATGTGTCTATGTATATACATAAACACACACACCATATATACTATATCAAAAATATGTACTATATATATACATACATATATATACACACACATACACACACACACATAAACACGCTCTTTCTATATCCAAACTTAAGGGATACAACTAAACTTGTGGAACACCACATGCTCCTTTAAAGGTTAGTGGAAAATTAATGTTTTTAAAAGAAAGAAAGAAGTTTTGAAAAGACAAATGTCTGTCTCAAAAAGAGTGATGAATTAAGCTCAAGTAGAAAGACACAATTAATAAAAACCAGGAATCAATTGAATAGCAAATTACTGTAAAATAGAAAAATTTGACAAAGTAATAAGTTGTCTTTTGTTGAATAATAAAATAGTATAAATCACTAAGAAAACTAATTTTAAAAAATTTAAAAGAGAAAAATAAAGGCACTCACTAGCAATACCAGAAATGAAAACATAGAGAAATTCCTAGAATAACACAATTTTAGCACAACTGACAAAGAAAATGTAGTATATCTTAATATCTTAATTATATATCTAGTTAAGGAAATTAAATCTTAATTTAAAAAATTTCACAAAAAGAAACTCCTAGGCTGGATCACTTGAACCCAGGAGTGTGAGGTTACAGTGAACTATGATCTAGCCACTACACTCCAGCCTACCCAACAGAGTGAGACCTCCTCTCTAAAAAAAACAAAAAGAGAGAGAGGGAAAGAAATAAAAGAAAAGAAAGAAAGAAATCTCCTCGTATAGATGGTTTCAGTTACGAATACTTCTAATCCTTTAGGAAAGACATAACATCAATATTATACACACTATTTCAGAAAATAGAATAAGAAGGAATATTTTCCAACTCAGTTTTAGAAGCCAATGCAATCTTGATATCAATTCATGACAATAGTATTATAAGAAAGGGAAATTATATGTCAATCTTTTATGAACACATATGCATATATCTTAAACAATATATTTGTCAACTTAACCAATGTTAAGTTGGTTAAGAATGTTAAAGGGTTAAGAATGTTAAAAAATTAATACATTATTATCAAACTGAGTCTATGTCATAATTTAAAAATCAGTTTAACATTACAAACTCTATAATTCAAAACATTAACAGTAAAAAGAGACGAACTAAGTATTTCAATAGATCAAGATAAAGCACTTGATAACATTCTATAATTAAAGGGAACTCCCTTAATATGATTAAGAATATCCACAAATACTTTTACCTAATAGAGAAATAGTAAAACCTTTTCATGGGTATTGAAAATAAGACAAAGATTAAGTTGCAATAACTTCTACTCAACCTTGTACTGGAAGATATAACCAGTAAAATAAGGCAATAAAAATGATTAAAAAGGCATAAGAATTCCAACAGAATAAGTCAAGCTATTATTATTTGCAGATAATGTGAATGTTTACATAGAACATCAAAAAAACCTGAAGATAATTTCTGAAAATTAATAGGTAACTATAGCAAATTTTCTACATGAGACATATATAGATATATGCAAATATACATACATACACATGTATAATTTCTATATGTCAACAATAGACTAAATAGAAAACAAAATTAATAAAAATATCATTATACTACTTACAATTGCATTATATAACATTGGGTATTTAAGAACAAATTATTAAAAGAATGTGTATGGGTGGTTGGCAAAATGGTGGATTAGTGATGGCTTCCTGGCTCACTGCTTCCAGAGAAGGAGGTGAAGAACTCAGACAGCTATACACAAGTGGATCATTCCCCCACCTCCTGACCCCTCAGAATAGCATTGTGAATCTGCAGAGAAACAGCATGGGACACTAAGCACAGGAGGAAAGGTGAAGTAGAAATGCATTCACAAAGACTGGAGAATGCCAGAAACACAACAGGGAATAGACAGCAGCATGGGAGGGCCGGCCACCCAGCCAGTGTAGTACAATCTGATCCATAGGAGGACGCCTGGCTCCCCCACAGACCTCCAAATCCACTCAGACAGGGACACATCTGAAGTTGGTGCAAAGTTGGGGCATGGGCCAGCAGGCTCTGTGGAGAGGAGACAATAGCAGGAAACATTTTGAACTCTCTGGTGGTCTGTGCTGGGACCACAGTGGGTGGGGGAGTGACTGGTCTGAGTGGTTACTTCCTGCAACCTGACTGCATGAGGGAGTTTGGAGACAGGCACTTCACCTCTGGTGGTCAGTGGGATCAGAGTACAGGAGGTGAATGCTGAAAAGGGGGCTCTGCCCCTGGAAACTGCTAGTGACTTGGCCAGCTCATGGGGGGGAAAAGAGCAGGGTACTCAGCTAGGCAGAATTGATACTGAGGGACTGTGATGCCAAAGTAACAGCTGGTGGCCTACTGATTCAGCCAACCTGACTGGCTTCTGCAGACTCTTGAGTGGTCGCCCCCAACACTAGCTCTCCAGAGGCAGCCAGCTGCCGTCTTTGGGGTTCCTAGCCTGGAGATGCTGCAGCAGCAGTGGTTTCAGGCACCACTCCACCCCAGTCTGGAAACTTTCATGCCAAGCATGGCAGACTCCACCTGTGCAGATGGGGAGAAGCAAAAAAATCCATTTTCTCTGTGTGGCTGGTATGAATCTGTGGTACTTTGGTGCTAAAAAATAGTCGGAGGCCTGTTGATTTGGCTCACCAGACCAGCTTCCACAGGCTCTTGAGTGCTCTCCCCAGTGCTAGTTCTCCAGGGGTGGGAGGCTGCCATCTTTAGGGTCCCCAGCATGGAGATGCTGCTGGGCATGGTGGTTTCAGGCAATATCCCTTCCGTAGCCTGAGGACTTTCATGCCAGGCACAGTGGACTCTGCCCTTGGAGGTAGGGCAGAGCACGAAAAGCTACTTTTTCTGTGTGGCAGGTGTGAATCTGCAGGACCTTCAAGCTGAAGAAATAGTCAGTGGCCTGTTTGATTAAGCCTGCTGGACCAGCTTAGGCCATCTAATATGAACATAACTTCAGGGCTTGCTCTTTGGGTCCTGGTGGCTGCCAGCACCAGGGTTTGTGGACAGGGAAGGAAAAACATGGCCAGAGACCACAGCAATTGCACCAATTGACCCCGCCCATTAGGAGCAACCTTCCAAGTATGGTGAAAGAGCCCCGAATAACATATTAGTAGTTCCCCTTAGCAGCAGGTCAAGCAACCAGAGAAATACACACAGCCAGGCTTCTTGCTCCTGCCCCCACCTTAAGGGGGAACAGGGTCCAAGTAACCCTCAGGAGTGACAAGGCCCTTCCCAAAGATTAGGGCATTTGTATACCCCAGCCAGGGCACCAGAGCGTATGACAGTTACATCAGATTACCTCAATAACTGGCTCTTCCATGCAAACTACAATCAATGACAGAGGCTGTAACCCCATAGCTCAACACAGTGCCCTTGATCTCAAGCTATTGGACAGCAGTGGAGTCATATGCACAAGTAATCCACCAGCTTGGAGCTTAATCTGAGAGATGAAACTCACTAGTCTCCATTGGCAACAGGTGAAGACAACAGGTCATAGGTAAATCAACTTGCTAAAATACCCCTAAGGCAATAATGGACC